TGTGCTCAAACTATTCGGCTCTTCCGTTGCCTAGGGTGAAACCGGCCGGAAATAAATAACGCAAACTTGTGATGGAATGGACTTATGAAGGCCAGGCTCAGGGAGATAAGCGTGTTCTTAGCCCCCAACAGGAGCGTGGGAGGGTCAAGAAGATGAGGCTGGCACCTCCCTAACGAATTCACGGTGTTGTGGCTGGCTGGCTGGCTTGGGAACTTGGGTTCAGTCTGGGGAGATTTTCTGTCCTGAGGTTGTAGCTAATAAATGCAACAGAACTGTATTTGCATTGTCTCGTGGAGTTCTTCCGGCTGAACCTGACAAAATTTTAGCCAATTCTAATAAATGCCAAATCTAAAATAATAACTAGTTGCTCAGGAAATCTCCAGTGCCAATGAGTTATTTTGGAAATGTATTTGTTCTGGCTTGTGAAATGACCGGCCACGTTTGCCAGAGAAGCAGAATAGTTCAGATCGTTTGACCTTAACAGGAAACTGAAAGAGGAAACTACTGTACGACATTAACCCAAAACATGAAGCGGCTCTTGGCTGTTATATTTTCTTGTCTGGAGCTTTCTCTGCATCCAGCCACGCACATAGCCAGATTCACGTAACATTGAGACGATAACCTGAAAATCATTTGTCCAGGTTCTGCAAAGAGAAAAAAAACCCTTCAAAGTTCTTTATAATATCATGTTTGGTGGACTATTTTATCTACCTCAATCTTGGCAGAAGAATCATCTCATTGAAGCCCTCTGACTGCCCTTTTTTTCCTACTGGGCCTGAAAGGGAATCTGTTGGCACCCAAGACTTGCAGAGACGGCATTTTTCATCACACTTCATGGAGACAAAGCTCAACCCACAAGTGAAGTCATTTCTCACGCGGAATGTCTTTAGGGAAGCTTAATCTGCTACTTTTAATTCTGAAAGGGTGGACGCCAACGCTCCTTCCACTGACGGCAGAAGCAGGATAACTCAGGCGAGGGCATACTCCACCCCAAATAATTCCATTCTGAATGATGGGCTTCTGCGTCGTGTACCAAGTTAAAAAGAACTCCCTAAGTCAAATAAGTTGGACGAGTTTTAATATGCTTTTTAAAACCACTTTTCGTGATTTCTTTAGGCTCTGCCCCCAATAACTGGATGTCACAAAGAATAGAAAATGTCTTTAAAATGCAAAACAAAGTCAAAAACAGAGATACAGCGCTCCACGCGTAAGTAGACATTCGGTGCCTTTCCGTCCTCGCTCACTCTTCTGAAGTTGACACATTGCCATGAAACGGATGCTAACTTCCTTCCCTTTTAGTTGAAGCTCTAAAATGTTTCACTCCAGTTCATTCCTTACCTTATTATTGGGAAAACTAGGATTACACTGAACTAGCATCTGCGATCAACATCTAAATTTCTAAAGGGATTATAAACCATCCTGCTTTAACTGCAGGTTTTTAAACAGCATTTAATTACAAGCGCTACTTTCTGCATTTCTTCTGCTGAAAAATAAATCGAGTGACACAATCATGAGTGGTCTTAGACCGGTGTTTCTCAACCTTGGCCACTTTAAGACGTGTGGACTTCAACTCCCAGAATTCCCCAGCCAGTATAGCAGGCTGGGGAATTCTGGGAGTTGAAGTCCACATGTCTCAAAGTGGCCAAGGTTGAGAAATGCTGTCTTAGACTGAGAAGAATACAGGAACAATCAGAAAATAAACCCTGCTGAGTTAAATTCACATTCCCTTCCATTCCCACGTTTAACCCAGAGGTATGTGGGGTGGTTTCTCTCCTTTCCTGAAAAAGCAGCTTAGTAAATTTACCCCCAAAACGAGGGCATCATCACAACACGGTGAAAATAGCTACCTAGTGACTTTCGCTCATATCCAGGAAGAGTGATAAAAAATGAAAGAGCGGTGAGAAGACCTGCCAAATCTTTTTTTAGTAAAGCATGACAACTCCATATAATTCAGAAAGGATGATGTAAAGCAGTAACAAGCCAAAGCAGCTGATCTAAGATCACCAGGTCATTAATTTTTTTCCAGACTGGGACAGGGATGGAAAGTAGCAGAAAGAAAAAATAAAGGTTTACATCATGAACATGGCTAGAATGATGGAGAAAGGTCCGCGGCCAAATTAAAATAAAATCAGAGTCCCCTTTCCTTAAAGTGGCCTTAAGGGAAGTGGGTTTTTTCCTCCTTTTTTTACACACAAACCCATAAAAAGCTTCCTCACTGAGATTAGATGCCGTGAACAAGACTCATCCTGTAAAGAGACCTCTTTACAGTTTTATGCCTGCAAAACGCAACGTAGCAGCCTCAACTTCCTTTCAAAAGAGAAAATGGGTGGTGGTCCTGCAGACCGAATTCTATATACAGGTTGTCCCCGCTTAGCAACCACAATTGGGACCAGCAACTCAGTTAAGTGAAGAGGCCACTAAATGAAACCATGACTGTGTTTATGATCTTACTTCAGCTTTCCTTTGTTTTACAGACCCGCAAAGGTTGTAAATGTGAGGACTGGAGACAATGTTGGTGGACTTTCTAGATCAGTGTTTCTCAATCTTGCTGGCTGGGGAATTCTGGGAGTTGAAGTCCACACACCTTCAAGCTGCCAAGGTTGAGAAACAGTGTCTGGAGACAATGTTGGTGGACTTTCTAGATCAGTGTTTCTCAATCTTGCTGGCTGGGGAATTCTGGGAGTTGAAGTCCACACACCTTCAAGCTGCCAAGGTTGAGAAACAGTGTTCCAGATGCAAGCCCTTTAGGCGTACATTCTCCACTGTCTTTAAAAAGTGCCGACCAACTCAAAATCCAGGAAAACATCTTCAGCTGTTCCTCCTGCCTGGATTTCACTGAGTCAAGAAGACAACTGAAGTGATCTAAAGGTAACAACATCCCTCTTTCTTTCACACGCAGAGACTCGAAAGACATCCACAAATATCTAGGTTCATGCCTCTTCATTCCCGATCCTTCCAAATGGAGGATTCAATACCTCTCAATATAAAATATCCTCAATTTAAAAAATACTGACACAGCAGCTAATCACACTTACGGCGGTAAAGATCCCTCATAGATGAAGAGACTGAGAAACAACATTTGCACGGCTTCTAAAATGGTAAAGTTAGGGCCAGGAAAGCTTTCCTGGGACCACCATTGACCCACCAGCTCTCCAAGGACCTCTTCCCAGACGCATCCCAAGGAAGGCAGCAGCGAAGGCAGCACATGGACCGCTCGATGTCAGAAGCCCGAGATATCAGAGGAGTGTGAGAACCTTGTTGGAAATGAGGCTTATTAAGCCCCACAATCAACGAATCAACGCCATCCAAAACAGCAACCCGACAACTTACCAAGACTCTGTCTCCCATTTTGAGTTCTCTTTCACCCTTCTTTAGGGAGCCGGCTTCCGAAAGGTTTGAAATGGATTCACTGGTGGTTTTAGAGAGGTTGCTCATTTGAGAAACGGGGGTCTCCTTGGCAGCTGGAGGAGACATCTTATGAGGAATGCCGGTGGGAGGCAGATGTGCTACTGCCGAAGGAGAAGACACGAGGCTGGCTGCTGACGTGGAGGTCGGCGACGTGGCTCGAGATGCGTAAGATGCCTGGGTACCGTTGGCTTCATCCTCTGAAACCACTTTGCGTGTGAGCTTGGAGGGCCTTGTGAAGATTCCCCGCAAGGGTTCACACTGGAAGTACCTCACTCCGGCCACAGAGCCATCGTTCTTGCCAATGGCCTCATCCAGAACTATCCCTGCCCACTGGCCCGGAGCAAACTGCGTTTCTCCCAAGAACTGGATAAAGCCTGGCTTATTCCCATTGACCCAAATACGCTCCCCAATTCTGAAGTCATCCACAAACTCATCCTGGGCTTCAGGGGGAGCTGCAGCTGAAGGCTTCTCGCTGGCCGGGGTCTTTTCTGGCGGGGCTGAAACTGAAGAAGGAGAGCGTCAATGTGCAGATGGGTTTAACACAACAGCCCGCCTCTACTTTCCTTCTGCTGAGAAGGAAGGAAAGAGAGCCGAGTGGGCCACTGATACGTAGCGACATTAACGAGAGCTGTACAAAACGCCTGAAGAGTCATATGGCTTATGAGGGAGGCCCCTGCGGACGTCCTCAACAGAGCCACAGAGCAAAGACCGCCATTCGAAGAGTTGGTACGGCTGCTTCGAGGCCTTCTGGACATAGGCACGCACGCAGACAGGCACATCTGCTGGATCGCTGGCAATGCTGTGCTGGGAGCCTCTCGCTATCCCCAACCCAGATAAGCCTACGTCCACCCTTACCTTGAACCCGTATATGGCCGATATGCGGCTAAATGGGTACAGCCATTTAACGGTGCCACGCACAGGGTGTCCCAGGCTGCAAGTGCCCCCCTTTAATGAACCGAAATGATTGTAAGAGGAGGAAGAAAGCTGAGTAACACTCACCACTAACTTCCCTCTTTTCCCCCTCCCGATTTTTATTCGCTCCAATTCTCCCTCCCTCCTTTCCCAGAGCTATTTACGCCACTAAATCTGCATCAGAAACGTGTGCGGGCGTCGACAAGGCGTGCAACGGCGTCGGTCGCCCTATTTTGAAACCTTCCTTACCCGCAGCAACCGGGGCAGCGGCCGCTTTCACCAGCACGCTTCCAGGTTTGCTGATCTTGGTGGGGGCTTTAAGCCCGCTGGGTTTCAGCATGCTCATGTTCTTTTTGCGGTCGGTACGTCGTCACCTCTGCACGCAAACACCGCCTCTTCCCAAGCACACGGACATCTACTTGGCTTGCCTCCGGGTTAAGCCTGCAGATCAACGGCACCGAGGGGAGAGACCTAAACATACGTTGCTCGGAAAGGACGTGCAAAGAAATTCCGCTCAGAAACCCTGCCCCACAAGCAGGGATGAAAGCATTTCTGGAGTCATCCTGCCAACTGCACATACCAGAAATCTGCCCCGACTTAAAAAATCTAGACTATTTCTTTTGTTTTTCTTCTCCTTAAAAGATAATAGGAGTGTCTGCTAGGTTAAAAAACAAAACAAAACAACAGTAAGAGTCTGCTGTTTGGATGTTTTTACCTAGCGGCTGTTTCGTGTAAGCAGCCTCACCCTAGAAACAATTCACTTATTGGTAAAGATATTAGTCAAGTGTTCCAACATCCCAGAGAAACCATGTTGGTTAGCAAGGAAACAACATACAGCACACACCTCCCTCTCCCACATCAGCACGATAACCTGAGAATCAAACTGTAGCCTCTGAGCGAAGCTCCCCCCAAGATGGCTCAGCAGAGCATTACCCCTTGGCAGCTCACGATTCCACACCCACCTCCGTGGGGCTGGCTAGAACTCCTTGCTGAAGATCATGAGATCGCTCAGGATATTGCACACTCCCCGTGCAGTGCCCCAGCTCAGATCCTTTGAGATAAAGTGAGAAGGGAGTTTTTCTTCCTCCTCTTGCGTTGCTAGGAAAAAAAAACAGAATAGCTGTGATTGATCAGAGGCCCCGTATAGGCTTCTCCAAGAGAAACCATCCCCAAGGCTTGTTTGGGTTTTTATTTCTTGCAGAAATGTTAATCGAATATTCCCCACTCGATATCAGGGTTGACCTGCTATAATTGCAGAAAGAAAGAGACGGGTTATTTTCAACTCCAGCAACACGCTGATCGGGGAGCTTCGAGTATCCGGACTATTTACACGGAAGCCAAACAGAGGTATTTGAAAACAGGCGGCGTTTGGGCAGGAGCGATCATGGGTGGGGACCGACTGGGAAGAGAGCAATTAAACACCTACAAGCAGCACTTTAAAAGGAAGAGAAGAGTTTCTGAATATATGGAAAAAGCATTTGCTTGCTCAGCCCTGTTCTTCACACTTGACTTCGGTTATGGAAGGCCGCCTGTTGTTGACAGCATAAGCTTCTGCACGCCCTGCTCTTAGACGATGCCAGAAGAAGTCCACTGCTGGAGGTTTTCTGGAAGGTAGAACACCTTCCCAGGAGGACCGAGATGCAAACTCCAGGCACCTTCCTCTCTTCTTGTGTTATGCAGACTCTCGCTACACCCTTGCTGTGGTTTACATCTGCTTCCCAACCTGGCGTCTTTCAGCTGCACGTCCAGCATTCCAGGTCAACCTCTGCAGGGCCCCAGACTGGAGAAGGCTGGATACCTCTTCTGTCTCTCCATTCAGACCAAGCCTGGTCTCTTGCTGAGGTCCACAAATCATTATTATCTCTGCCTCAGAAATGGCCTGGGACTCCGCCTAACCTAGTCTCCCTGCCATATTCCACAGACTTTTTTCCTCTTCTGTTGTTCCTTTAGCTCCATTGCCTTACTTTAATTTAATTTGATTTATGTCCTGCCTTTCACTCAAGGCCTTCTGCTACCCTGAAGACCCCTGCTGCCTTAAATGATTCTCCTTGCAGTTTCCTATTTCTGTAATGTCCTCCCCATCTGTTACAGAGAGATATTTCTCATTTATTTTAGCACAGGTATATGTGCCCTGCCTTGTCTGAAATCTGGGAAAGTACCCTTGTAATATAGGAATCTGACTCCTTGGAATTCTAACCAGGATGGCATACGAACTAGTACAACAGCCCTCAAGGTCTAAGTGAGTGGGCTAGATGGTGGAAATTCAAAACTCAGCCATGTCATTCATTGAACTAAGATCTCTCAGCCTAGCCAATCTTACGAAGCCAACCTTATATCACTTGGAGCTCCCTGGAGGAAGGCGAAGATGTGCCTGAGTGTGAATAACTCACAAGTGATGATCAACCTCAAATTGATCAACCTCTTAATGTCACGCATGCTAAGTTTCTAAAGCATTTTTGCTATTGTCGCCTACTAACTACTTCTGTCATGATACATAACCAGCAAATATACAGAGAAGAGTACAAGACCATTTATATACTTTAAGATAACAGAGCTGGAACAAAAGGAAAAATTAGCCACAGGTTACAGTGGGATACCAGACATGGGACAAGAAAAGAGGGGATGAAAAGTTCTTTTCAAAGCACAACCTTCTCCCTGTGAAGAAAACACTACAAGGAACACAACGCCTCCGTTCGATCTATTAACTTAAATTTTGCAGGGAATTTCAAGTCATCCTTCATTTAATCTAATGGCAATGGGTGTTAAACCCATGAGCTAAATAAAACACCCCTTGAAGAACTTCAAATTATAATTCCAGCAGATTAATTGCAAGAACCGATTATTCGTAGTAGGAAATAGATGGGACTGCAGAGCATTAATGGTTGGTCTACTAAGTAATCAACAGGGGTAATCAGCAACGTTCTGAAGTTCAATTTACAATATTTGACGTTGCCTAAAGAATGTAAATTACAGAAAGTCTGTTTAAAGATCCCAGTGTCAGAATGAAGCCATCAAGCGAGCAAGAGGACTAAAAAGAAAATCCATGCTTACAATGGGCTTCCTCAATCGGGCATCCTTCAGTCGTGCAGCTAGAAATTTGGAGAGTTGTGGCTTCAGAACATTTGAAAAGCAACAGACCTTGAGGTATTGCAGAGTTGGAGCTTAAATCCCTTCTGAGACTTCTGCACTACTGCAAACTTTTTACCCTTTGCAAAATGTCAAATGCGCTGTATTTCAACATTTAACCGCACTGATTTCCAACACCAGTAGTTGTAATAAACTGACAAACTTAAAAAGGGCCACTTGGCCTCTGTAGAAATTGTCTCTCTCTCTACATGTGAATGAGTGTTTTAGTACTGGAGGTCTCTTATCGACATTTGGATGGCAAAGGACTATACTCGAAATGTGATTGTTTCCTATTATTAAGTAAACTGACTTAAATGTCCATAATTTATCTGTATAACAGGACTGCAATATATACATAAGAATAGTTTTCATTAGTTCGTGAGAGAGGCATGCTTTTCGAGCAGCTGGATCACTCAAAAGCAGTTGCCTGTCAACAAGGCTGGCCAAGTAAAGGTATAATTTGGATCCATTTTGATCCACATTGCTTATTTCTGAGTAAATTGCAGAAAGAGTAAACAGTTGGAATATCCCAAATCTTGGAGGAAATAGAACACACTAGTCTGTCATCTGAAGGACAACCAAATTGTAGAACGAGGATTTGTAACTTTGGCCCTACAGCGGAAAACACTATTCCTGCATCTTCATCACCATGTTTTAGACAAGGGAGAGATTTGGAGCAAGGCCTCCAAAGATCTCTGACAAGGTTGTCCAGCGTCTTGTGGGTTATCCAGTGGCTTGTGGCCTTAGTCCAGGAGCAACCCAATCGTGTGGCTAACATTCGAAAGCAAGACGAGGAGGAGGAACGGTGCAATGATGAAAAATTCAAATGTAAGTTTAGCCTCGATTTGGGGTGGGATGGGGGTTAATGGCCTTGACCTCTCTCTTCAACTGAAAAGTGACCATCTCCAGATTTCTAGCCCAAGGTTATGTTTGGTGGAAGCAATAAGTCAACCCATCCGTGCAGACTTCAAGGACTCCCCGCTCAAAGTCTAACTGAAGCTAAAGATCGGATTGCTCTGAACATTACCTACCTAAACCACGAAGGCGTATTTCCAGCATTAATATATAGGGCAGTATTAATATCTAGGAAGACATCCAGGGGATCAGATTCTTGAGCTTTGAGTGGTGCGGCCTAGAATTCCCTCAGCTTGCGCTCTTTAATTAATAACATCAGAATGCACAGTCCAGCCTGCTTTCTCTCCCCCTTCCTCCCTTTTGCATTATGACATCACTGGCTCTGACCTCATCATTCAGGAATGCCTACCAGGTCACTTGGAATGCCACCGCAGAAAGACGGGCACTGCCAGCCAACAATACTGGCTTTGTAAAGTGCAACCCCCAGAAGAACAGAAGTTCTTATCCCCGATGGTTCCTTATTCACCATCTCATCAAGGGACAGCTGAAGCAACCTGTAGTTCCTCTATTAAGTATTATTGGGAATGGCAAAGGAACAGGAGGAAACAGAAACAAGAGTAATGAAGGAAGAATATATTCAAATTAAGCTACAAGAACCCTAAGCTTTGCTTTAGGAGAAAGCGCCAACTTCACCTAAGAGTTGGGTTTGGAGAAGGGCCTTGAAGCAAAGAAGAAAGGGGTGGCCTACAGGGTTCAAGGAGAAGGCAAGGAAAGAGAGGACGGATAAAATGGCTTCCCGGAGGGGATACCTCTCACGTGTGTTGGGACTGCCATTCGCAAGCTAACGAGCAATTTTCTCTGGACCTCACCAGAGCTTAAGGGATGCAGAGGTCTTCCCATGGGGTGAGTATAGTCCTTAGGACAAGAGAAGGACATATCTGAAGGAAGGCAAGAGAAAAAGACTGGCGAGGAGGGGAGCATCACAACTGTATCAGAAGAGGTAGGTCCATTTTGTTTGAATGCAAAACCATTGGGGCTGCTCTAGCAAAGGAGAAGCTACGATGTTCTAAGGCAGTGTTTCTCAACCGTGACAACTTGAAGATGGGTGGACTTCAACTCCCAGAATTCCCCAGCCAGCATGGCTGGCTGGGGAATT